TATACAAGTAAATATAAAGAAACAACAGTTATAGGTGTAAAATTTGCAATTGAATGTTTTTAAGATATTCGGGCAGGTTGATGGCCGAGAGGAATTATAGTTGAAGATAAATTTTATATTTATAAAAATGTCAAGTGATATCACTAACATAACAATTTATAGTGTGGGACACTCACTTTTGAAAAAACTTTATATACGGTGTGTGACAAAACTTTTTGAAATATTATTTTATATAACTTATTTTTACAATGTCATTTTCTGAAAAACATATATAACATTAAACTATATTATATTTGTGAAAGAATAGAATTACTTTTCAAATGAAATATATTTTAAAACTAATATAACTATATCAACTATTTATTACAATCTTAAAAATTAAATTCTAAAGAAAATAATTTGAAAAAACCTGATAAAGGTTGGTTTAAAAGTTTATTATATATGAATTAAAAGCAATTCATCAATATTTATATTATAATTTAAGATTTTCTATATAAATTTTAATAATTCAATTGTTATTAAAATATCTTATATGACAATTTCAAGATATTTAATAGATTTATATTATAAAAATGATTTACATATAAAAACTTCTATATCTATTACTACATATAAAAAAGCTTTTATTATTTGAATAAAGAAATATTTTGATTATAATTGAAAAATAACCTTATTTTTTAATAAAATAATATTTCAACTATTCAAAATTACATTTATCCAATGATATAAAAAATACAAGACAAAATAAAAGGATGCTTAAAGACTGTATTAAAATTTTTACATGAAAAAATTTTGTACAAAAGAAAAAAAATTTTTTTATTTATTTTAAAAGAAATTATAAATATGAATTTATATTAATATTTTACAAAAACATAAATTAAAAATCATTATATTGTTTGAAAATAATTTTTATTCTCAATATAATAATGATTCAAAATATATAAATAAAATTGTTATAGTATTTGTTAATAAAAATTTTTCTAAAATTATAAATTGACTTTTCAATAATTCAAACTTAAATCATATTGAAAATCTTAGGATTATTATTAAAAAAAATATAAAACAAATATTCTTGAAAATATTTTTAAAATTAGAACAATTCATAATAGAAAAATTTGTAATATAAATTTTAAATAGAATTTTATAATAAATCATATGAACTTTAATTAAATTCTAAAAAAAAATTTTTTTATTAAATTATAATTTTTCAAAAGCAAGTGTCCCACACTGTATATCGCGTTTCAACATATTTTAATGTTCCAATTAACGAGCCAAGATTTCTAAATTTATGTAATTAATTAAATAAATTAGAACTAGTTTAGAGCCCTTCCGTGTAACCTGTAGCCTACTGTTACATGATCCTAGACTTGGCGTTACAGTTGAACAAAAATCTATTTTTAAGTAGGCGTAGAGTAGTCTAATTGAAATGGATATAAAAATCCTACGACGATTTCTGTTCCCTTAAAAACCAATACATTATTTTCTTGAGCATGTCAGGCCAAGGTTATCCCGGTAGTTACTCGTCATCTCAAGAATATCAACCCCCGCCAAAAAGTTATGCGCCTCCACCAGCAGGTTACGCCCCCCCACCACCGGGTTATGCCCCTCCACCACCGGGTTATGCTCAACCGGGATACGCTTCTCCAGGTTACGCAGGTTATCCTCCACCACCACAAGGGACCTACAACCCTCAATACCAACAATACTATTATCAACCAACTCCTCCTCCTCAAGTAGTTGTTCAGGAAACCAGAAGAAATGAAGGGAAAGAAATGTGCGCTGGACTGGCATTAGGTGCCTGCTTGTGTTGCTGTTTAGAAGGAATCCTTTTCTGATAGAGGAAAAGAAAAACTTTAATGAAATCTAATGGGATGGATCATAACAATTGCAAATTTTACACCTATAACTGTTGTTTCTTTATATTTACTTGTATACACATATTCTATTTTTTCAAATCTGTTTGTATATATTAAAAAAAAGTATATTTACAGTATATATATATATATATATAAATAAAAAAGAATTCTATTTCTCCGATAAAAATTTCTGGCAATTTATTAGGTATTAAAATCCTGATACTTCAGATCTATATATTTTTTGGAGGGGAAAGGAAAAAAATTTTTTCCGGAAATTAACCCAACAGAGGATAGACCTGATGTTAGCATTCAATCTTGGTGTTACCAAGGGTCGCCTAGAAATTTTCACGGTGGCACGAATTAGCAATGCTCACATGACCATCAAATAATCATCGAAGCACTAACCCAAAAATTCCCATTTTGGTACGTGGCTCTTATCTACTAGTTTCCATACTTGACTAGCGTCAAAGAGTTCGATGAACTGTTGATCCATGGATCGTGATTTTGGATGAGAGAATCTACGATACTCATCGAAAATTGAAGTATGAGACCATCGCTGTAGCTTTCGGAGACACCCAACTAGACAACCTGTGCGGTGCTTAATTATTAAAAGGGAAAGGAGAACACTTAGACTAAAACATTTCAAAAAATCCTTAATATATTGAAATATGAGATGATAAGGACCTTGCCTTTGTTGCAGTGTATCAAAATAGGGTGGTTTCGTTGATCTGATAATCACGCGTAGATGTTAATTCGACACGCCCATTAAAAAAAAAAGAAGCAGAATAAAGGTAGAAGGATTTGATTGCTTTCCTAGGATAACCGCCAATGCAGCGCAAATCTTATCCTCAGGTACTGCAATTGGAAGGTATCGAAGTGAGTATAGATAGGAAACTGTCAAGATATATAAAACATGCGCATAATTGAAATCTTACTTTGAACAAATGGTTCCTAAAGATTTTTGGAGATTGATTAATTTCAGACCGAATTGTTCGAGTGTTTCGGGCAAAAGGTGTCACCCAGTTACCTTATTTCCTGCAATCCCAAATTGATGTAACTTAATGTTATTTGCTTCCAAGAACTTCATATTTTGTTCAGGGTATTCCTCCAAAATCAACGTTCTTTTTTTTTTTTTTTAAAAAAAAAAAAAAAATTTTTTTAATAGCAATAAAACGAACACGCGCGATTAATTAGATCGCAAATATCTCGGTTATTGCAATGTCACCCATTTCAAGGCGAGAAATTTAAACGCAAACATGTTAATTGTAAAGGTGACTCGTACAAAATGCTTCTTAAACCGAGCTTCTTCAAGAAGGCAAAGTTCTTTTTTTTCGGAAAACTGCTTCTGTAAACCCAGGTTGAAATCATAGTAAAGTTGTCCGGTGGCACCAACTCTTCTTCGTAAGGTATATGATGTTCCTCGCCAGACGACGAAGCAGTTGACCACGAGAGTGTTCGCTGAAAAGCGATATTTGAAGCCATGAAAGACGAATGCTTTGAAGATATGATAGAGGAGGTGGTGGTCGAAGGTATATTTGTATTCAATTCCTCTTCTTTGGTTGACATTGTTTGCAATAACGAAAGGATATGGGAAGCGTCAACTTTAGATAACTTTAGATAGTGTGCATGATTGGATATTTGGTAAGCCGAATTCGGAAAAAGTTATCGGTTGCGCTAGCCATATAAATACTCTACCCAAGGTAAAATAAAATAAAATCCCATGAAATCCCTTGATTCTCCGAAATTGACGTACCTTTTGGCAACTCTAGTTGGTCTACTGGGCTCTAGTTGCTGTATAATCCAACTGATACTTAATATCTTCTCCGTCGGATGTGCTGGTTTCAGCGTGCTGACTCCTTATCGCCCAATATTCCTCAGTTCCACGTTAATTTTCCTCACTGCAACAATAACTCGATATGGTTTCACATCCAAAAGAACTTTAATTACTGTTTCAATCTCTTTACTTCTTTGCACTTCGCCTGAACTTGTGTCTCTTTATAATCGGGGAAACATCCCTCCCGTGCAAAAAATATTTTATTCACTTTCCACCTCAACCCTATTCTTCCCAAGATCCTCTTTTTCTGATCCGTCTATAAATTCGGAAAGAGAAGTATTTCTTCTCGAGATTCACGGAATTAGCTGTGAAGGATGCGCCAATAGGATAAAGAATTGTTTTGACTCCAAACCAGGTGTTATTGAATCAAAAGTGTTTTTTGAAAATCAGTCGGCTATTGTAAGTGCGGTACCAGGAGTTTATAAAGTTTCGGATTTGGAAAGTTGGGTAAAAATGGTGGATTTTAGGTATGTTGGGAAGGTCATACAACAATATATTATTTCTTTTTAAATCATATGTTAAATACACGTGATTATGTTACCGTTACGAATTAAATTTTTTAATATCGCATAAAGAATGAATGATACATTTCTGTATACGTAAATAAGTAATTTACAGTAATTTTCAAAAAACCCAACCAGCGCATCTACGCGCAACCTTTGAACCAACCAACCAAACCGACTCCCAATAGAGTATAAGCTGTGAAACAGACTTTTTACGATTTCTCATGAATTCTCGCTCGCTGACATGCCTAATTCGACGTCGACATATTAAATGATCGACTAATGGCATAAAACACTCGTTGGATTTCGCTTCCAGAGCAAAACCGGTGACGCAATCGTTCGCCTCAAGATTGTACAGCCCGTGATTGTCGTCATATATGTTGGAAAGAGGATTATTAACATTTTCCTTTAGGAAACTTGGACGTCGACGAGAAATGCGTTGTTTATTGTAGATAGCTCTACGCACATATATCAACTCATTTATATCCATTCTTTCTGATCGAAGGGCGATAGGATGTTTATTTATTCAATTGAGGAGGCAGCGAAAGATGATCAGGAGATAAAAAAAAATTTTTTTTAATGACCCTAAACTACTTTTATACCAATTTCAGGACCTTGATAAAATTTTTAACAGAAATATCGGGATTACCATAATTATTGTTAGCTAAGAACGGTTGCGATCTATTAAAATTGGTCATGTGCTGTTTATTAGGGGGGAATTTGATTCCTCTTACCACAAACGTTATTGTTGTGACGGAAATCAATCTCAACAAAGAATTGAGTTTGAACTTCTCTTTTTACGGATCAACAATGATACCGCGCGTATCATGCATATTGTGATAAGTGTGTTGCCTGTGTGAAAAATTGATGCACAAATCGATAATATGTACAGTCGCCTCGAAAAGTAAGGCCCGATTTTAAAATTGGGGTCAAAATTTTACGGAATCACGTTTTGCTTTTATTTTATATGTTTTACTTAAAAAAATTTTTTTTTTTTTAGCTAGTATTTGGTCGGTTCTTCCTCTGCTTGTAACATGGCATTGAGTACAATGTAAATAGGTATATTATTGCTTTTATTAATTGTTATATCCTATAATAGTAAAAATTAAGTAGCTAAATATAAAAACTCTTTCTGCTGATTCTCTGATTACATATAAAAAAGATGTTTACAAGAAATTTTTATACTTTCTTGCTAATAAAGTCTTAACACTTTCCTTAAAACAATTTGAAATATGATTTCAAAAGTTGCTTTTACCTTTTTCTTATTATCTACAAACCTTTTTACTCAAAAATTTAGCTTCTAGTGATCAAGAAAAATCAAGTAACACCTTTAATATCAATGACAAAAAAATTTTTAAAGGAAGAAAAACTAACTGTTAAGTATCTAAAGATCTTTCTAATCTTTGAAATGAGAGGTTTATAAAGATTTCTATAGTAAAATGGCTTATTTTCTTTCTTTTTGACTGTTTTGATCTTCTTAAAACTTTTGTTTTTACAATTTTTTAAGGAATTTTATCTATCTTAATTTGATTTTGAATTTTGGATAGCACAAATTTACATTAAAGGTAATTGGTTAACATAAAATATATCAATTTTTGAAATATAAACAAGTTCCTATTAGTCATACTTACTTATCTCAATATATTATTAATGATATAGAAAAGAAAGTTCTAAAAAAAGTGTTCCCTCCAATTATATATATTCAACCTAAAGATGGGTTCTTAAAGGGGAAGATAAAAACAAAAGTCAAATGTTTTTTACTAGAAAACATTAGAATTTTTAAAATAATAACTATAAAAAAACTATCTACAATCGTTCTTCATTATTTAAATCATTAATTTATAGCATTTCTTGACTTTTGTCCCTATTAAAGTAAAAAGTTATGAGTTTTGTTCTTCAAAAAGATATATAAGTAATCTGCAAAATTTTATATGCTAAATATTTTAGAGATCCATCATTAGTTCAATTTTCAAGAAATAATTATGATAATAAAAAACAAGTGATTAATAGAAAAAAAAGGATCTAATTCATATCTCTCATTAAGTTTCTTAGATAGTAAAAAGACTTTCTTGAACAAAAATTGAGGTCCCCAAGCTTCTATCTCAATTAAGCAAAATTCTTGAAAAGATTTCTTTATATCAGTTAGACAAACTCTTCCATAATATGGTACTGGCTTCAGTAGTATTAAGCAAATCTATATATCAGTAAAAGAATAAGTTTTTCAAATATTCTTTTTAAAATTATTTTCAAGAATAGTTAAGTTTCTCAAACATCATGAAACTTAAAATATATCTCATTTAGGTAAACTCCTTTTGAGAGAAAATCATGAAATAGAGCAAGAACCTTTTGAAAATTTTTGAATTATATTTCTCTTATTTTTAGTATCAACTTTAGCAATTTATTATTTTTTAGGATAATAAATAGTAACAAACTGTTGATAATAATCCTGATTGACTTAGAAGCTCTATGTCAAGCTATTAAAAAAGTATAAAATTATTAAATATATTATTTAAATATGATTTAAAGTATCTAGTTTAGACTTAGTTTTGTTTAGTTCAAACTAGCTTGGTGAATTTCATATATTTTTTAAATAGTATAGTTCTTTAATTAATAATATATAATAATAAGTTAATTGCTTTATAAAAGTCTATAATATTGTGATATCTTTCAATATCTCAATAAGGATATGCCATTATAGCATGATTGTGGATTTAAAATAATAATAATAATAATAATTAAGTCTTTAAAATTTAAAAATAAGTATTTGAATTGATTTTATTATTATTATTATTTTAAATTTGTGATCAAGTCAATATTGTATATTTATTAATCAATATGAAAACTGATAGAAATATATAGAACAATTGTATTATGACTAAATTAAAATTCATGCTAACTCACTTGTCAATAGTTTTCAATTCTCAAAAGAGCTTCAGCCTCTAAGTGTGATCTTGAAATCAATATTTCACTCTGTAATACATTTTGGATGAATACTATTCTAATTTACACATCATTATCAGCAGATTGTCACTGCTCATTATCCTCTAAGAAATTTATTTTGAAAAACTATAAAAAAAAAAGGAAAAAAAAAAAGTGTATATCTAAAAATACACAATTGTATTATATAAAAATGAAATTGATTTTTTTATTATTTTTTTTTGAAATAATTATAAAAAATTAATAGTTTTTTAATTTTTTCTATGAAATATTATTTAATTATAATTGAATAGTATTTATTTTTAAAAGTAGATATTAAATAATCTAAATTATATCTTTTTTCTATATTATTAAATATTTATTTATCTTAATTATTTACTAAATTTGCACTTGTTTTATCAAAAAAAATAATTTACCATCAATAGTAAATTCAATTTTCTTAATATTTTTTATATTAATTAATATTTGTCTTTACATAACTTTTTTTTTTTTTTTTTTTTTTAATACCCATGGTCAGATCAGTACTATGTGTTTATTAATCATTAAGAAAACTGATTAAGATATATAAAGCAATTACATCATGGCTAAACTAAAATCTTGTATTGACACACTCGCCAATGGCTTTCAATTCTCAAAAGAGTTTCAGTCTCTAAGTGTAATCTTGGGGACATTATTTCATTCCGAACTAAGTTTTAGATGAAGACCCTCCTAACTTACCTATAATTGCTAGCAGGTTGTCACTGCTTATTATCCTCCAAGGAACTGAATTCGAGAAACTATAAAAGGGGAAAGGAAAAATAAAAGGAAAGTGGAATAGCTAAAAATGTGCAAACATACTTACGTGAAAAAGAAAAAAAGAAAAAAGAAATTTAAAATTGCTCCATGTCCTTCAAATAACCTCAGCTAGAAACCTCTTCTCATTAGAAATCAACCCTTCTAGGATATCCTTCTTCTTCCTGACTATCTGAGGAACTTATCCATCCATGCTCTTGATTATTTTCTTATGGCCATCTGAGGTACTTATCGCCTACTTGGATTCAGTGTCTTGCTCAACACTTCCTTTCTTTTGATCTTGATTTTTTATCCACCCATGTAAAGCAGAATAGTTAATAGTAGACTCAGATTCTTATATTGTTTTTTAGTATTGTTGTGTAACTTCCGATATCTTCTAGCAGCCACGCCTAGTTAAAGGAATTTTATTGGTGTGTATCTTTCATTACTCAAAACACCAGATTCCCCAACAATATTTTTGCCTTGTAATGGTAGGAGAATCTGCAAAGTATGGGGATCCT